AGAGATTAATATTATTTGACTCACTTTTCTGGCAAGCAGTGCCTGTCACTGCCATCTACTCACCAGACATTCTGAGGTCAATTGTACCTAATCCCTCATTTTGAACAGCAACTTCATTCTAAAAAAAATATTCTGGGCATTTTCTCAGTAATGTAAAATGTCACTGATAGAAAATGGTGTAGAGAGTGAAGGATGGGTACAATGTCTTACTTTGAAGAATTCTTTCCAAATTAAGAAGAGCTGGGAATTTTCTTTGGATAAACTTTTTCCTGTGTTATGTGCCTTGCTCTTGCCAAGTTCTTTTTTTAATGAAGAATTGAGCAGAAAACATGAGGCAGCAGAATTCTATCCAACAATAGAGCATCTCTCTGATGTGAATAGTCCTTTTTCAAAGCTAGCTATTGTCAATCAGTCCATGTTCTTGCTGCTGCCATGTTAAGCAGGGAGTTGGAGATGGGGCAACTTTCTTATGCTAATGCTTCATTTTGTAAGGGCATATAATTTTTTTTGTTGGATGATGCTATAGACCCAATTAGTGGGTGCATATACAGTAGTGGCCACTTAGAAAGCCCACAATCTGTGACTAAAGAGTGAAAGCCTCTTTTCACCTTCATTTAAGTCCTTCTTCTATAATTCAGTAGATAGTAAAAAACAGCCAACAATATCAGGGAGTTTGATAGCCTGATCATTCATGGATCTGTCCAATCCTCTTTTAAACCATCCATGAAGGCTGTCATTACCACATAAGCTAATTCTACTTTATTGTAAGGTTATATTGACAGAATCTGTTAAATCTGAAAATACAAATCTCTGGCAATTCCTTTTAACAACCTGATCAATTATTCAACTTTTTACCATCAAGATGAACATACTTCAAGTAAAAGTTTTCTTTTCACAGTGAAAAAATCACTTGAACACACATAGGTCATTGGAGCAGAAAAGAAAAGTTTTCAAATCTCTACCTATCAGCATTTTATGGTGTATCTTTGTTAGCAATCATTTATATTCTGTCTTTAAGTAAAACAAAACAAAACAAAGCCATAATAATAAATTGAATGATTTCAATCTTCTAAAACTCTCTTAAGACTTATGTCATGTCTTAACACAAAAAGATTTGTAATAGTATAATTTTGCATGGTGGCATGTTTTAAAATGGTGTCCTTTAGGCAACTAAAGCAACAATTTTAATGGATAGGAAACTTTACTTCATAAGTTTTAATTCTCTAATATGTAGTAAGGAGATTTTCCAACCCATCCACACTAAAAGTCTAATTTTTAATAAATTGCAGAAGCAATTCTGGTTACTTTAATGAATCCCTGAGTTTGGGATAAAAACAAATAGTAATCAGTTAATTTCTACAAGATCTCCCTCCAGAAAAACTTTGAAGATTCACTGACAGTTGTTTTCTTTGATGCTTGAGGATACTTGTACAATGTATTAAGGAAAGACAAACTAATATATACAGTACATACATTTCTTAATAATGTTGTTTGTGACCAAATAGCCAATTTACATTTATGACATCAACCACTTGATTGTTTATTATGGAAAGTTTTATATTGTATAGTCTAAGTGAAGAAAAAAGAAAGAAAGAAAGAAAGAAAGAAAGAAAGAAAGAAAGAAAGAAAGAAAGAAAGAAAGAAAGAAAGAAAGATGAATGGATCCAGGCTTTTAATATTTGTTTTCTCAATGCCATTTGAAATCAGATGCTCCTTTACTTTTTGTATATGCATTGAAGAGGACAATTAGTAATTTTGCCTTAAAAGACAGCATAAGGAACTGTGTGGCCAGAATTAAGCACAAGAGTATACTGGAATAAACCACAATTTGGGAATAAGGCATTCAACCAAGAAATTAGTAATCTGGCAAAACCTAGAAACTTTGTGCCAGTTCCGATTTTCAAAGCATCAATTGAGAAGAATTATAGATGTCTTAAAAATCAGAATATATGTACAAGTTTGTCTGCACTGCAGTCCTTTTACCTTGTTGTTATTAATGAAGTGATATTTTACAATGCAGCTGTAAAACAAAAGTATTGCTTCTATCCAATTTATTTTTCTTAGTAGATTGAAAATTCATACTAAAACATAACAGGAATACAAAAGAAAGATATTCAAGCTGATTTGGTATTACTCTGGTAGTTGCTTCTTACTTCTTGGTAATTTGTCTGACAATTTCTGTAAAGCATTTGCACTATTTCTAAGTAGTAACAGTTATAAAATATTATAAAAAGCATGAAATTGACTAAATAGTTTTTTGAGTAACAAAAATGCTGAGAATATATACCTAAAACTATACAATATATACTTTTAGCAGAGTATTTGAAGTTATCCCAAACAGAAAAACTGCTGGATCTCCTGTACAATCCTGCTGATTTTTAACCTCAGCTATTATAAAATAAAAAAAATCATCACAGTTCTTCTATGGAGATGTAGAATAGACTCGAGAACCCTAAATATTAATTAAATATATTATGTGGGTAATTAATCCAAGTATTAAGAACACACTCCATGGATTTTGAAGCTTAAATTAAATCATGCAGATATACTGATTTAAAAAAAAGACATATAACCCATTCTATGGGTTAAGTTAAAATAAAGGACCTGAGCATTAATCCCAGCATTTACCTTATACTGCTTAATAATATGTTAAAAAAAGATCATATAATTCAAAGTCCACAATTGGGAATTATATACAGGACAAAAATACAAAGAAGTATGATAGGGGCTTTCTTTAGCAAAAATGAAAACAAAATTAACCATTCATGAAATCCCTTAAATAATAATAAAAAACATAATTCATCTTATTTTCAAATTATTTAAACAGGTTTTTTTCTATATTTTCAAAATATTGACAATTCTCTCTATAATGATTCCTTCTTGTGTGAAGCCCAATAACCTGTTACGTCTTTTTGTTGTTGTTGTTTATTTTCAATTATTATACTGAGCAGCCCTGAAATTCCTTGGTTCTGAAACGTGGCACCTAATTACATAAAAAAGAAAGAAAACTAAAGGATGCACCTGTGGGTTTTTTTTTTTACATTAGAAAACATATGTAAGACTGGAATCCAATTTTAGCCATATTCTTGAGTGTACAAAGATTACTGTATGCTCAAAGATGAATGAAATTCCCAAAGTGAATTGTGAAAATGACAGCAATTGCTAAAATGCCAAAGCTGACTTATTTAATCAAAGCCAAAAACTTTTTTTTTTAAAAAAAAGACTGGAAATCTGAGGTGGATGTTTTGATGAAAAAAGAAAAAATAATACAATGATTTATGAATTTGATGATTAAAAAAGATCTAGATCGAGTGAAGGAATAAAGAAATTTATAGAGCATCCAAGAGGAAGGAAGAATTATAACAGTGGTTCTCAACCTTTCTAATGCCGCGACCCTGTAATACAGTTCCCCATGTTGTGGTGACCCCCAACCACTTATACATCACCAGGTGCCAGGGGCGTGGCCAAAGAAAAGGGGGAAAAATGGCAGACAGCCTTGTTTGGCGACCCCCATGAAATGGTCGTTTGACCCCAAATGGGGTCCCGACCCACAGATTGAGAACCACTGAATTATAAGATTACAATTATCTCTTGAAAAAGTGGTTGGAAGTAATTACATTTGATAACTTATTTTATTCTATTTATCTTTATGTAAAATTCTTCACAAATATAATAAAAAAGACATATTGCACTAGTCTATCCAAAATGTGATTAGGGCATAAGTTAATGCTGTTAGGGATTCCTGCTCCAGGAAGGGCAACAACTAGAATATGAACCAAAATTGAGCAAAGTTACTACCAGAGATAACAGGGAAAACATTGTTTCTTAATAAGCAGCAATTTCAAAAGGCAGGGATTCCATTTTAGTTGATTTCTTCCTATCCAGTACTTTACAGCTTCAGACACCAGATCAGGAATTCTACAGCATATCTGGTCCGGTACAGAATAGAAGTATGTTTTTGAATATCATCAAACTATTAAAGATATTCCATTCCAAACTTATGACCATTTCTAGTGGTTTTACGCAAATGAGGAACAGAGGGAACAGAAAGAAAGAGGCAAGATTGAAGGGTAATATCCCACATGGAAATAATTGATCCCTATACCACAAAATAATAATTATAGACAATGAGAGACTACACAGTAAGGAGTAAAAGTGCTGTAAAATTATGTCCCCACTCCTAACTCTTACAAGAGCCTTTTTACAGTGATTTTAGGCCTGAAGTCTGAGTGCAAGGGACCTAGATAGTATGTTTCCACTAATGCTCTCCATACTAAGACACTGCTACCACTTTCTCAATGAACCTTTTTTAAAATGGTAATCTTAATCCCTTTGAGAAGTTGATCACCACCAAAATTCAATGATACAGTATTTAACCAATGCAGCTAGGCAGAATAGAGGTATTAAGAAGGTTAATGAGGGTAACCAGCAGTCTGTAGACTTCAAGCAAATGTTTTATAAAGTGACTTCCAGATTCTTCTAATCTATATATTATGCTGAGACCAGTTGTTGACTATTTCCTGGCCTAATTTAAACCTGTTGTTTTTTAGGGAATCTTTTGTCCTATTATGACTTCATTAAGACATTAACTTCTGAGGAAAAGCCTTTCCAAAGAGCTCATTATTGTCAGACACTATCATCAGGTCTGAATCACAATAAAAATTGTGGAACATAGCCTGTGAATCCAGAAACAAATTAGATTGACTATGCTTATGAGTAGATATGATACATAACTGTATGACTTGTAAAAGACCTTGTGAATAGACTATTTCACTAATGAGACTGATATAGGAATATTAAGCATATTTCTATCTACCTATCTATCCAACATTTTAATGACATCTCTTGTGTTTTGAATCTCTAATTGTTGAATTAACATTTTCACAGTTTACTCATAACACCTTGATGATTGGCAGTTTCAGATTATTCTGGGTAAGATTTAAATGCTCCTCTTGGATGTGGGTCCTTTGTATTTTTAAAAAAATGTTTTGATACACCAAGTCCTTATTCTAATGCTAATAATCATGGAATTATTTTCCTTATTTTTAAAACAAAAATAATAGCTTTAGTCAGTGATATTAATTGTTCAGTTACACAGTCAGCATAATAACAGGCATATCTTTTTGAATGCAAATTGAACATTTTCTCTGTTAATGTTACTAAATTTGAGGCAAAATGTCATAAAAGTGAGTTTATTCAAAGAAAATAAAGAATATATCAATAAATCTCAGAATTTCCAACTTTAGCAATAGATCTGCTTCTTAAAGTGAGAACTGAAATGAATAAGATTTTTTTTTTTTTTGCAAATTGTTAATGTTCAGTTCTTCTTACTTATTTGTAAGGTTAATAGATGGTCAATGCAATTTAATATATAGATTTTGGTTTGGCTAGTATTGTGTCTTATTTTTAATAACTATAATTATTTTGTCAAACAAAAATATATTTGCACTTTTGGATGCAATTGTGTTTTTGAAATAAATCAGAACAGTGTGAAATAGACCTCTTTCAAACATTCACTATAGAATAATAATGATTTCATGGATCATTTTCTGTAATTATTTAAATAAATTCAATACTGAATTCAAGTTTAGTATAAGGCTTTATTTATTTAATACCAGCTATAAGTCTACCTGACAGTTGAGAAATAGAGGAGCAAGAAATTAAATGCCAGCTTCAGACTGACTTATCTAAACTCTGGAAACATGTAAGTAATACATATCATTTTACAATTACTACAAATACTTATGTGTTGGTAAGTATAGTTTGATCAAAGATGCATTTTACAAATATTTATCAATTCATACTTAGCCATTTTGAAACAATTTGTAATTATTCATTCCCATATAATGATATTATTTATAATTTATTTATTAGATTTGTTTGCCACCCATCTCACTTAGAGACAACTCTGGATGGCTTACAAATATCTTATTTTTTAAATAATGAGAGAGGAAAAAAAAGTAATTGGATATAATGGGTATAATGAGAACAAGTGTGGCATTGTGGTTAAATTAGGAGATCCAACACATTGCCTCTTTTGAGATGGAAGCCAAGTATTCTGAGGTGAGGTGGGGTGTCACTCTCTCAACTTTAGACTGGGAGCTAAAAAAATATCCATGAAAAAAACTTACAATGTAACATCATGGTAGATATTAATAGTTCATAATCTTCAGTAAAGATATCTTCGTTCTGCAGTGGACCAATTTAAGATTTAGACAATGAAGAATTCTTACCTGGTAACCCAATGTGTTAATGGTAGTTTAGAAATAATAATAATAATACTGATCATAACTGTAGTAATAGTCATGGCTGTATAGTTCAGTGTCCATCTTTTTTGTTACACTCAGAAAATATGTAAAGACTTCAAGATTTATTCAGACATTATAACCCCCCCCAAAAAAAGATGGTTTGATTATTTTTCTGAGCAGTGAGTTTGCTTTCTTGTAATTGTATATTTAGATTGCTAACTTATGTATGGCTCTACATGATGTATGGTTTTTGCTTTTGATTGTGTATTGTTTATATTATTTTAATTTTGTCTATTTTTCTTTTCTGTTCTTAACCCAAGGTATGGATCTCAGGAATTTTATACCATTGAGAGTAAGTTTGATTGGGCTGGCTCATAACTATAAAGAAAATTGTTTGTTGAAATTAGAGCTGCTTCAGTCCTTCAATAACCATTGAATAAGACATCTTCTGGTATTAATAAATTCAAATTTGAATTTGGATTAAGTAATATATGGCAAATGAGTTTGTGTATGACTATTGGCATATATGATAGTTTTTGAGTACTGACTACTTATAATCAGTTACAGCAACATTTCTCTATGACAATATCTGAGTCAATCTATTTAAATGATATATGAAGCCTGTAACTAAGTTTATTTTATAATTAATAAGGTATATACAAGTGAGTGTAGCTTAATTAATTTTTTTATACATTCAGACACATTTTTATGGCACAATATACTATATATTTATGCATTACAATGATGGGATGCTGCATATATTCATATTTCAAGAAGGGAAGGGGATTTCTATTCTGCTTTATCATATACCCAAATCTATTAATAGTAATTTAGAAGAATGATTATCACAGCAACAAAAGTCATGGATATAAAATTCAGAAAACATTTTGAAAATGTAATAATACAGTATCTCTCATAGATAGTCAAATGGTTTTCTCCTCCTGATATCCTAAAAGATTTGTTTCTTTCATCAAGGTCTACAAATAGGGCTGTTGTGACTGTTCTGCACAATTAGGTTTTATTATTAATATTATTATTCCCAATTTGGGAATAATTCTGCTACAATTTATGAATTCTTTTTAATTTTTGTTATTGAATAGCTATATCCTTGAAACATACAAAGTAAACACATTTGAAAATATTTGATTTGATTGAAAAAAAAAAACAAAAAAAAACCAACCCACCACCTTTAACATGTAATATCGATTGTAATTGTCATTGTTGGTAAAGTGTTCTAGGAAAAATTCAGTAATATAACTCATAACATTTCTCAATTATTCCAGGAAGAAAATACTTAAAACCATTAACAGAATTTTAAATGGAGAACAACCTGACAACTGTAGTAGAGTTTATTCTCCTAGGCTTCTCCCAGAATCATAGAATGCAGTCGCTTCTCTTTCTCCTTTTCCTTGCCATTTATACCACAACTTGGCTCGGAAATCTCACCATTATAATTACAGTATTTCTCACCCCTGTTCTGCATACACCCATGTATTTTCTGCTTGCTAACTTAGCTGTTGTAGACATCAGTGAATCTTCTGTCACATCACTCAAAATGTTGTGGAATCTCTTCCACCACACTCATACCATTTCTTACAATTGGTGCATTGCACAGATTTTTTTCATTCATTTAACAGGGGGCACAGTGGTCTTCTTACTAATTGCAATGGCTATTGACAGATATATTGCTATTTACAAGCCCCTACAATATTTAATTATCATGAAGAAAGAAATTTGCATAGGATTGGTAGTAGGGGCATGGTTAGGTGGCTTCGCTCATTCCATTATCCAGGTTGGAGTTCTCCTTCAGCTGCCTTTCTGCAAATCCAACATTTTGGACAATTTCTACTGTGACATTCCTCAACTTATCAAGCTGGCATGTGCTGATACATACACACCTGAGCTTCTGATAGTTTGCAATAGTGGACTTCTCCTGACATTAATTTTCTTCACTTTGCTTGTGTCATATACAGCCATCTTAGTAAAGATTAGGAGGCATATAACAGAAGGCAAACACAAGGCCCTTTCCACTTGTGCTGCCCAGATCATAGTTATGAGTTTAAATTTTGTTCCAGGGATGTTCATTTATGACCGCCCTTTCAAGGTATTTGAAGCAGACAAGATTGTTTCAGTGCTCTACACTCTTTTGACCCCAATGCTGAATTCCATGATCTTCACTCTTCGGAATAAGGAGATGAAAGTCACCATTAAGAAGCTCATGAGAAAATGCTATCTTTCTAAATAGACAAAAGCACCACATTCTACCCTGAGGGAAACATGCAGAATAACTTAAATATCAGTCCCCCACACCATAGCATTGCTCTTTGAATTAGTAAAATATGCAAACGTGAAAACTTGTGCTCAGTGAACAAATAACTATTTTTTTAGACAAGTTTCACAACTCAGAACACACATTTGGTTTACTTTAATATGAAGCAACTCTGAAAAAGTTGAATCCATAGGCTCTGTGTTTTATTTTCCCTGTAAGACATTATTGCTCTTTATTTTCTATTTATATTTAAATTTTATTCATAAAGTGTATTGCTCTTCAGATTTTTTTTATTAGTTTGTCACCATTCTGGCATATATTTTGCATGTGTTGCCTATATTGCCTATCCAATACACACTGCATTTTAACTAACATGCTTGTAGGCTATTGTTGTACATTAATTATTATATTAACTAACTGCACAATGTTAAATTAAATACAATCTCTCCTCCTATAGTGACCACAAGGCTTTCAGTGAAATGTCTATGAAAATTTGTAGCCATTCATGTCATGGTTGTCCCAAAGATGCTTTTTCACAAGGCAACTGGACTTTCTTGTTTTTCTTTGAAGATGTTTTGCTTCTCATCCGAGAAGCTTCTCCAGCTCTGACTGGATGGTGGGGAATGAAAGTATAAATCTTTCCATTGAGTGAAATGGTTCCTAACTGAAATGATCACTAAGTGAACATCTGTTTCTTTGTGTTTTTCATTCACAGAGGAGGGGGAGAGAAGTGAAGTTTGGTGTTTGCTGCCATCTTGTTTAGATAAAATTCTTTCATTCTCATTTAAAGAACAAATGAAAGAAATAATTCCTGCAGATACCTGATTACAGCCACTTCTCAAGTAACAACTATCTCAATTAGTGATTGTTTGCAAGCATGGCGGTCATAAATGTCAGTAAACAAAAGTTTAAAAAGTTGTTATCTATCCAATGTGTTTACTTATTTCCAGATTTCTATGTAACAACAATACACGCCAGAGTGTGAGTAACACTGTTCTTTCTCCATGAGAGAATTTTATCTCTGTAGTGGACTAGATGAGGGAAAACAAGCTTTAATTTAATCTACACACAATAAAAGTGCTGTTAATCCTTTAAAAGCGACATGGAAATGAATACAAAAAAAAAAAAAAAAACCAAGATGGATTTTAAATCAATCTATACTAAAATATAAAGAATTCATAGACTTGGCCAAAAAAGAAATGGAATTCTTCTTTAAAGAAAATAAAGAAGAAGACACATCACTACAAAACATATGGGATACAGCCAAAGCGTATTTTAGAGGCATAGCTATAACGTACATGGCAAAGAAAAACAAACAGAGAAGACAGCAATATTTATTATTAAAAGAAGAATTTAGAAAATTAGAGACAGAATTACAACAAAACCCACAAGAAAAGACTTTGAAAAGAGAAATGGAAATAATAAAACATAAGCTGAATTTGTTGGACTCAGAAAAACTGGCAGAACAAATAAAGAGAGCAAAACAAAATTTCTTCGAAAATGCCAACAAGCCAGGAAGATGGCTAGTCTATAAGCTTAAAAAACAGAAAGAGAAGAAAATAATACATAACTTAGTAGATGAGAAAGGTTGTTTACAATTTAAAAAGGAAGAAATAAAAAAAATAATCAAGAAATATTATAAGGAATTGTATGGCAAAGAGAGAATCGCTCAATATTTAGAAGAAAGTAAATTGCCAAAGATTCCAGAGACATTCAAAACTATGTTAGAAGAAAGAATAACAATGATGGAGATATTAGAGGCTATAAAATGACAAAAGAATGGAAAAACACCTGGCCCAGATGGGCTACTGGCAGAACTTTATAAAAATCTACAAGATATATTAAACGAACCGTTGAAAGATGTGTGTAATGGATTATTATTAGAGGCCAAGCTTCCAAATACATGGATAGAAGCAAATATTACTTTGATACCAAAAGAAGATTCAGACTTGATGTATATTAAGAACTATAGACCAATTTCATTACTCAATGTGGATTACAAAATTTTTACTTCAGTAATGGCAGAGAGACTGAAAAGATACTTAGTTGAGTTTATACATCCAGATCAAAACAGCTTTTTACCGAAGAGACAAATTAAAAATAATTTAAGGGTGATAAAGGACGTATTAGAATATTATGAATTACACCCAGGGAAACAATTAGCATTAGTGTTTTTAGATGCCCAAAAAGTGTTTGATAATGTTTCTTGGCAATTTATGGTTCAATAATTACAAATAATGGATTTTGGAAAGAACTTTACAAATATGATAAAAACAATATATATAGTAAACAGACAGCAAAAGTGATAGTGAATGGAGATTATACTGAGAGTTTTGAGATAAGAAAAGGCACAAGACAAGGATGTCCACTATCTCCATTATTATTTATCTTTACTTTGGAAGTACTAAATAGAAGGATAAGACAGGATACAGAAATTAAAGGATTGAAAATAAAAGTTGAAACATATAAGTTACAAGCATTTGCCAATGATCTAGTGTTTATTTTGGAAGAACCTAGAGATGATTCCTAAACTTATGGGGAAAGACAGAAGAATATAGAGAAGTGGCAGGACTAAAAATAAATAAAGATAAAACTAAAGTAATAGTAAAGAACTTTACAGATAAACAAAAAAGGCAAATACTAAAGAAAACAGAGGTACAAATAGTGAAAAAAGTTAAATATTTAGGTATTCATCTTTCAGCTAAGCTAATTATATAAAATTATTGAAGTAAATAAAGCTAGACTTGGAAAGATGGAAAAATCTCCGGTTGTCAATATTAGGAAGAATTGCTACAGTAAAAATGAATGTGTTGCCAAAGATTTTATTTCTATTTCAAACAGTTCTGATAAAATTTGAGAGAAAATTCTTTCAAAATTTAAATTCATTGGTTTTGAACTTTATTTGGCAGGGGAAAAAAGCTAGAATTAAGATGAAAACATTACAAGATGCTAAGAAAAATGGAGGTTTTGGGTTGCCGGAATGGACATTGTATTGTCAAGCATCTGTGTTAACATGGGTGAAAGAGTGGATAGCACTCAGAAATAAAAGGTTATTGTATTTAGAGGGACATGATTTATAATAGGGGTGGCATGCCTTTTTATGGTACAGGAAAAACAGAGTCCATAAGTATTTTCAAAATCATTTTATAAGAAATGCTTTGTTAATAGTATGGGAAAAAATTAAAGCTAAAATATATTCAAAAATTCCAGGGTGGTTATCAACGATGGAGGCATTTATTCATCCGAACCTGGTAGCCTTTGCAAAAACATGGACATATAAAGATATTTTAGATATGGATGGGAAATTAAAATCTAAATAAGAATTGGAAAATCAGGGAATTAATCTGTCTTGGTGGGCACATTTACAGATACAAAATAGATATGAAAAAGATGTAAAAATGTATGGATTTTACAAGGACCAATTTGTGTTTGATAAGATTTTGTTATCCTCAGATGAGAAATTAATCAAGAAAATGTATAACTTTTTGTTAATTTTAGATATGGAAAGTGAACGTGAAAGAAACAATGACAAGATGGGCAAAAAATTTTGGTTATAATATAGAATAAGAAAAATGGCAAATGTTATGGGAGAGAAACTATAAATTAACAATGTCAACTTCATACAAAGAAAATTTGTATAAAATGTTTTATAGATGGCACCTTCCACCAGCAAGATTAGCAAAAATGTTTAAAAATATGTCAGATAGATGTTGGAAATGTAAACATAACATAGGCACATATTATCATATTTAGTGGACATGTGGGAAGGCAAAGTCTTATTGGAAAAATATGTGGTTAGAAAAAATATTGGGCGAACAAGTGGATTTTAAACCTGAACTTTTTCTACTAGGTATTATGCCTGAAAAGACTAATAAGCAAAAATTATATTTGATTTTACACATCACCACAGCAGCGAGAATAATTTTTGCACAATACTGGAAGAATGAAGGACTGCCATCAGAGGAAGAAATAATCAGAAAAATATTGGAATGTGCAGAGATGAACAGATTAACTATGAGATTGAAAGACAAAGAAGATACAGACTACTATCAAATTTGGAATTTATTTTATTCTTGGTTAGAGAAAAGAATGAAGGATTAGGAATTGAACATGTATTAGCTTAGCAAACTCCAGACAACTTGTTGATTGGAAAAATCAACATATGTTGATGAGAAAAAAAATTAATAAAAATAAATAAATAAAAAGTGCTGTTACTTTTTAAAACACACACATACACAAACAAGCTAGATACTGGAATAAGTTCTGAATGGGCTTGTATTGCCCAGAAATTATTGATTATGAGTTCTTTCAACCTTCATTTGTAATTGGATTTCAAGGTGTTAGTTGTGAGTGCATTTGAACATTATAATTAATGTACTGTGGCATTTAAGACTTCAAATGTGCAAATCTACATGAAAGAGCCCTAACTCTTCAGAATCATTGTGGCTACTAATCAATAACCTGATGAAAAAGCACATTGAAATAATTTATCAAAGAAGTGATGAACACATCAGTTATTGTTGCCAGTGTTCCCTACTCCAAGAAGGGTCGCAAGTGAAGCATCAATCAAAAGTAAGCAAAGACTGTCCTAGACAGTCTCTATTTGTTGTGTAGAAGGAGGTATGTGACTTCAAGGCAGAAATCAATACCATACATCTAGGAGAGTCCTCAAATCACACACCTATTTCTTCAGGAGATATAATCTTATCACTACCAGAGCTAACAAAAAAATAGATGGTTTCTAGATAATAACAATTCCAACTTGCAGGGACTGAATTTCAGCTTGTTTCTTCCTATTCAATGCCTTACTATCTCCCGACACCAAATCAAGGCTTATACAGTATAACATTTCTGGTCAAGTACAAGGTGGAGGTATATGGTTGAGTCTCATAAAAATATTGAAAAGAGATCAGATGTTCAGAAACATCAGACTGCAATACTTAAAGCCAAGCAGGAGAAAAAGAAGACAAGTCACATGACTAATTCATCTCTATTATGCTACTTACCCAAGCAAAATAGAGATGAATTAGTGCTCAAGAGAAAAAGTGATCAGTAATATGTGCTAGCGAACTTACATAACCCACAAGCTACCACATAGCTGACCCCCTGCTAATTCTGTTTGAAGTTGATCCATCTTATTAAAAAATGAAGAGAAGAGAAGCAGGAGTGGTATAACTCTCCAATCCTTTCTCCTCTGTTCTGATATCTCCAAGTATTGTAATATTCATTATTTAGACTTTTCAATTTTTCTTATCAACAATTAAGTCTGGGAAGTGTGGCAGATGTTTGTTTGTTTGAATTCTAAAGTCCCAAAGCAATTTAGCTTTATCATTTTCAATTGAATACTTTGTCTATTTTGTGGTGTTACCAGTTCTTGCTTGCAGGCAGAGTATTTCGTGCAGGTATTCCAATGCACCATTGCTGCTATTTATCATGCTGTTGTTTGTAGTCCTCTTGCAGCAGTGGTCCACTATTTCTTCAGCTTTCTTGCAGAGGCAGCATTTGCTATCTGTAACTGTGTTTTTGATTCTGGCTTTCAATGTATTTGTTCCTAAGGCTTGATCTTCTTCAGCCAGAATTAGCTTCATCTGCCTATTTTTTTTTAACTTTCCTCCTCTAAGTCATTGCCAGGTCTTGCTATCTGCTTTGCCTGTAGGTTTTTTTTTTTAATATATTTTTTAATATAATTCTTTCTCTAACCATGAGTTTTTTTCTATTCTTCATTTGCTCTTCCTTATAGACTACTTGGATCCTTTGGATAAGCTTTGATGGCTATTTAATTTGATCAAATTGTAATAATTCAAGAAAATCCAGTTAGAAAATCTAATTCATTTCTAACCTGTGTACAATACTGAAATCAGATTATTCAAATATCTTTACTAGTTACAAATTCTTTTCTTGGCCATATTTAAGGTTTTTACCATATTGTATCTGAGGGAATTCCTTTCCTATGATGAATTCATTTACACATTAAATTCTCAAGTACAGCCTTTCTGAAGAGCTCCCTGCTGCCAGAAGTCTGGTCATCAGGTCTGCATCACACCAAAATTGTGGAACACAACCTCTTGAATCCACCAACTAATGTGGTTGTTGTCTCTTTTATAAACAGTTATGATACGTGTATGTGGATTTTCATATATCAATGATGAATCTTGTGAATAAAGGTGGTCCTTGACTTACAAGCATTCATTTAGCAACTGTTCAAATTTTTGTCAGTATTGAAAAAAGTCACTTATAACTATTTCAGCATCCCTATGGTCAGGTGATCAGAATTTACACACTTGGCAACC